AGAGAGAGAGAGAGAGAGAGAGAGAGAGAGAGAGAGAGAGAGAGAGAGAGAGAGGTGTGACAACCCCAGGAACAAGTCTCTTGGACAGTCCCCAGGCTGTGGGAAGTGGGTGCCACATGCCAGTCTGTGGGGGCACCTACGCCACACCCTGCTGTGTCACCAGTGTAGCAGCTTTTGGTACAGAAACAAACAACAAAACAAAAGGCAAATAGCGCTGGGCCATGGCAGCATGTAGGCCCATTACTCCAGAAATTCAGGAAGCTGAGGCAAGGGGACCGGGAGTTCAAGGCCAGCCTGGGCAGCTCTGTGAGACCCCATCTCAAGTTTAAAACATGGAAAGGGCTGGGAGTGCAGCTCAGTGGTAGAGCACTGGCCTAGCTCTCCCCTCGCAGGACAAACCCAAACGAACAAAACCCCAAACAAAACAAAACAACACCCTCCCCTGAACAAAACAAAAAGCCCAGAGCCCAACAAGCAAGTGGGTGCAAAGACTCCCGAGATGAAAGGGAACATTAAATCGGGAACAGGACTGAAGCAGCAGGTGGAAGGCCTTGGCCATGCACCCCCCCACACACAAGCCAAAGCACAAAGCACTCATCAGAGGCCCTGCTCGGGAGGGAAGCCTGTGTCTGCACTGGCGATCTTTGGAACAGCTTGACTTATCCTTTATAATATTGCTTTTAAGCAGAGGTATTCTGAGAGACTGGAGGTGAGGATATAGGCAACCGCTCTGTCACCCTGACCTAAAACAAGGGGTACCCTGTGGCCATCTGTGGTGACTTTGGTACTCTTGATCAGGAGGTGATATTTCCCACACACGAGCGGTCGATCTTTCACCAGAACTGAGACTCAAATCCCTTTCTACTGACTCTAAGCAGGCGCTGTGCAGTTCAGCTGGGGAAGGAGGGACTGGGTGCCCAGGGTGCCCAGGGTGGGCAATGCCACCTGAGTGACATGAAGTTGGAAGATTTTGAGGAAGAACAGTAATGTTCCACCCATCACCTGTTCCTCTTTATGGGGCAGGAGTCCTTCTTGCATTTAACTAACCGTTAAGCCCACCTTACACTGTTTTACCACTGTTCAAGGGGTCCCCTTGTCTATAAAGGAGGACACTGACTCCATCCCCTGGCTCTGCCCACTTCCGGCTCGCCCAGAATATTGTAGACAGCCATTTTTTCTTTCAGAGGAAAGATGAACAGTGCCTACTACCTCGAGTCCTGGTGGGTCCGGTGCTGCAGGATGTGTTGGGGAGGTGATAGGTCCCTAGATTTTAAGAGCGCAGAAAGCAAGGGACATCCCTGGGGCTTCCTCATGGACAGTGAGCCAGATTCCCCACCTTGCATGAAGGCAAGGCTCCAAGAGCCAACAGTGTAGACATGTCTGTCAGGCCCTGGATGCCAGGCTAAAAGCTGAGGTGGGAAGACTGAAGAGGCAAGGAGGAGGGAGGGAAAGACAGGAGAGAGGGGGAAGGGAGAAATACAGAGAAGGAAGGGAGCGAGAGGAAGGAAGGAAAATGGGGAGAAATAACAGAGCCAGCAGGCAGGCTCCCAGGCGGGGTCTCTTCACTCCCCGTCACCATGGTGACCTCCTCTGCCTGCAGCATGAGTCTGAAGAGTGCTGGATATGAAACAGAGGAGAGAAGATGTGTGGACAGTCAGGTACCTGGTCTACCAGGGGACACTCACCAAAACAAGACAAGCTCAGATGAAGCTGTGCCAGAGACTGGAACCTTTTGTGCCCTGACGAACAGGTCACCAAGCTTCACATCTGTTTCTGAACTGTTCCCCCAACCCAGGGCTTAGTGGGGTGCTCCAGGGTTGCCAGCCATGGTCCACACAGTGGCTGGACATGGCCCTCCTGGCTCCTGATCCCAGCTCTAGCGTCCACAGATTAGTTAACTCAACACCACCTGGTGGCTAAGAACTCATGGGAGCACCCCTGACCTGAGCACTGGCCATTTGGGGTCTATGGCTATGGGTTGTGGGCAGAAGCTGGCACGAGCTGGGGATGCTGCTCAGTAGATGACCAAACCCACTCCCCAGAGCAGCAGCAGACTGGCCTCCTCCTGTCTAGCTCAAGCTGTCCAGCTGGGCATTAAGGCCATGTCCTGGGACAGCGTGTTCCCACTCTTTCCACATCCTTCCACACCCCTGGTAATGGTGAGGTCTGCCTCAGAGCATGGAGCCCACAATGTTTCAGGAACCAAGACAGCAACCTGCTCAGGGCCAGACTGAGGAGCCCTGATGATAGATGTGGCAACTGGTGACCCAGAGTTCCAGGCAGGGGCCGCACACAGTGCCTACCATGCCCATCCACAATCTTAATCTGGCGTAGAGGGTGACCATGGACAGCCTTGGAGTAAAGGTGACAGAGGAGAAGATCAGCAGCTCACCAATGTCCCTTGTCACCTCAGCTCCCTGGGCAACTCAGAGCTCCGCCCCATTCGTTCTTCCCTAACCCTACACTCATGCCAGGCACACAGAGAGAAGTTCATGCCAGGTACAAAAGGGAGATGTGAGACTGCCCTCCACCCACTCCAAGGGGCAGGTCTACTTGGAAAACCCTCCCCCAGCCACTGTCATGCCAGCCCCACTCCTCTGAAACCTCCCAGGCAACCGGCAGGAGGCCTTGGAAACACAGCTTACTTCCAGCTTGAAGCTTAGTACTACAGAAGGGACTGGCTGGGGAACTTTCTGGATAGCTCAGGAGGAGGTAGGCCCTCCACACTGGCCCCTGATGTGTGGGGGACTGGTGGCTTCAATGGCAGCAGCCATACAGGGGAGCTTGGACTTATCCAACCTGATCACCTGCTCTGCTGTGACCACAGACTCCAGGTCTAGTCCTTTCCAGCAAAGACTGCTTGTCTGGCCTGCTCTTTGCTCACAGGGCCCTCTGGGCTCTTCTGACCAGCACCAGGCAGAGAGGTGGCTGGCTGGCGGGTGGTTGGATACCAAGGTCAGGGCCGTCACTCCTGGGGCTCTCTGTCCAAGCTGTTGCCAGTTGCTGATGGATCACCCTCCGGGAGGACCAACATTGAGTTTCTGGCTGCCTTGATGTCTCCTGTCACGCAGGCCCCGTGACTGCTTCTGCAAAACCAACTCTAATTTCCACAGAGGGAAACGGTCAATGGCTCCTGCTCATGAGACTTGGTGTATGTTAAAGTGCTGCTGGTCACTTGTCCAGAATGCAAAGGGACCTCCCCAGGTCCACGTCTTCAGCTGACACCCATGCTTTGGTTCTTGCTTCACTGTAATCAAACTTGGCACCGACTGCTGTCCGGAGAGATAGCTTCCTTTCCAGAGGATAACGACCAAGGACCCCAGCTTCAGACAGAAGAGAGGGTTTCCACTTTCAAACTGAACAGGTCTTGGGGTTCTCAGGAAACTGGAATCGGGGGTTGGGAGGGAGGAGACTCGTGAGCCGATCATCACAGACCCCCTGCTGTCCTCTGCTGGCACCATCATCCTCCCTGCTGAGCAGGTGGCCTTGGAGCTGGCTCAGGTTTCCCTGGAGATCCGCTTGTAGCTTGCAGCTCTGGACTCATCCAATGCTGTAGGCCCTGGCCCTGGGCTGACTCTCAACCCAAAGCACTTGATACATCCACGTGGGAGCCGCCCGTCCTTCTTGGAGTTATCGGGGAGAGCGGCATGTTCACCAGGGGTTGGTGTGGGTGAGTGCTCGGCTTGTTGTTGCTTCGTTGTCTGCAAAAGGGACCCTCAAAGACACATGGGCCCCTCTGTGTGTCTCAGGTTTGAGATGAGCCCAGACTCCATATTTAGGTGAAAGAAATATTTAGGGTCCAAAGCCAAAGTAGACCTTCCTGATCCCAATTAATGCCACAACCTCTGTTACTTTTGGGGAGAGGGCTCTGTATCCTAGCTTGTGGCTGGGAAGTTCTTGTTGTTCTCTGTTTTCTGGTCTATTCCAGGATCAGTCACAAACAGGAAGTCCATGGACCCGCTCCCAAGGAGAGGTGCCTGGGTTTGCACTGTGCTTCTGTCCAGTCCTGGGGCTCAGGGTGCTGCCTGGGATCCATTCCTGAGGAGCTGGGCTAGACCTTCTCCCCCAAGAACTGGGAAGAGGCGATGGCATGAGAGAGGGGTAAATAAACACACAGAACCCCCATATTCATACAATCAAGTTGTCTGAACGTGTTTATGTGTTTGTTTGGTTCAAACCAAGGGAGGACAGGAGATAAAAAGGAAACTGTCCGAGCATGGCGGCCACCCGCACAAGAGCTTTTCCATTCGGTCCTTGAATGCAGCTGCTGGCCACTAGGGCTCCTGTGGCGTGAGATTCACTCCACCTTCTTGCAGGTGACACTTCACTCACCGGTCCCTGGGCCCTGAGGGGCGTTGGCAGCCATAGCTGTGGGCTGTGTGGTGCCTGTCCCACTGGGCTCCTCTACCCGGGACCTCTTGACCTCAGGCTCCCCGCTGGAAGAGGCAGATGTGGTAGTGGAGATGGCTGGGGTTGGTGCGGCATTAGCTGCCACTGAGACGGCTGCTGTTGGCTCCTCAGGCCCTACCTCGCACACCCGGGTGATGACCACTGGCGTGGATGAACTCGCCTGGGCTGCCAGGAGCTGCAGGGGGCTGGTGAGGGCTGGTGGTAGGAAGAAAAGGTTACTTAAGGGTCACCACTAATTGACCTGAGCAGTAAAGTCAGAGCCACAGTTCTTTCTCTGTTCCTCATACAGGCTCCTTCTCCCTGCCTACAGCAAGTTTGAGTCAGACACCCGACTGGACCCAGGGCCCTTTCCCCTGCTGCCTCCATCACCCCGAGGATGTCCCTCCCTCCCCTCTTGTGCCTTTATGATGCCCAGTCTTTATATCACCTTAGTGGGATTTAGAATTGCAAGGCAAACAAACCTCTGCACGTGTCTGTGAGGTGGCTTCTAGATCAGGGTCACGAAGAGGGAAGACCTATACTGGCTGTGGTGACACCATCCTACGCTGGCTTCCAGGACTAGCTAATGTGAAAAGCAAGCCGAGGACCTCTCTGCTTGCCGACTGCTGCCATGCCTCCAGCCACGCTGGACTGAACCTTCCAAGTGAAGAGGCCCTTCCTTCCTCCCTTCCTCCTTCCCTCCCTCCCTCCCTCCCTCCCTCCCTTCCTTCCTTCAGTTGCTTTGGGTAACAGGTATTTTATTACAGCAACAAGAAAAATAACTACCATGCCTGGGCACAGAGAAGCCTAGTCAGCAGCACCGCACCCTGTGAGCTGCCTGACTTCCTCCTCTGACCTTCACTGTCACCCTAGCCGACATTGGGTCACCCTGCTGGTGCTCCTTCCTGAGCGTGGTCTCAGTGCCTGGCACGCAGCAGGTGCACAGGACACTGACCCGAGTGGATGGGGAAAGCAGGCACTGCCCTGAGCCGCGCTGCCTCAGGGCAGCTCCCCAGTGCTGGGTTCAGGCTGAAGACAGGCTGGGGCCTCACCATAAGCATTGCCAGTCAAGCTGTTCGTGGGGACAGCATGCTTTCCATTCTGAGTGACAGCCCGGACTGGAAGGTGGTGCTGTCCAAGAGTCACCGGTGCAGCCGGCTGTAGAATGGTGACTGTGTGTCCAGGGACTCCTGGGGCCATCTGGCTGGCGACCGTCTGGATAACCCGGCTGGCTGCAGGGATTGTGGCAAATGCTATGGTGGGCTTTTCTTCCAAACCTGTGGGACACAAAGCGAGTGAGAACCACACACGGCCCCAGCCACGGAGTCCCACCAGTGGCCAGCATGAGGTTGGCTGAGGGGCTGGGGAATGGGGTAGCACTGGGAGAGGGCTTCCCAAGAAAATCCTTGGAAATAGGTTTGAACTAACAGGGTTTTAGAACATGCTAGGAGTGGAGGTGGGGAATCGAGCATTTCAGTTCATCCTTGGTTACAGAGTGAGTCCAAGGTCAGTATGGGCTTCACAAGACTCTGTCACAAATACCAAAACCAAAATGAAAATAAATAAAATCATAATTATACCTTCAACTACAACCAACCCAAAGTTAATCTGTGTGGCAAAAGGTATCGTCTAGAGTGTGACAATCTGCTGTGACTGTCTGTGCTGCTGAGACGTCATTTCTATGACTGTAATTACTACTGCTCTGTTGTTCCTGCTGGCGGGGACTGAACCTCTCTGGCACTGAGCCTCATCCCCAGCCCCCCTCCCCCCCCCCCCCCCCGCCTCTAATTTTTAAAAGAGGAAGTCTAGTTAAATTACACAGGCTGGCCTTGAGTTTGTCGAGCAGCCCAAGCTGGGCCCACCTCCGTAGGAGCTGGGTAAACAAGCCTATGCCATCAGGCTGAGCCTATGCCATCAGGCCGAGCCGGTCTCTAGAACAACACTATTAAGGCACAGAGATAATACTGAAACTGGGTCCCCAGTGGGGATAATGACCAAGAGATACCACTTTTCCGAGATACCACTTTTTTCTGAGGCTGCCTTTCACAAAACTTCGTGTATCTCCAATGTCAACGCCAGAGCTCCCTAAGACCAGATTTCTTTTGGAGGTAGACACGGGATACAGGACTGTAATCTCAGCACTGCTGAGGCAAGGTGACAGTGAGTCTGAAGCCAGACCAACCAGGGATGCATGCATACTGAGGAACTGTCTAAAAAGAAATGAATGGCTTGGAGATGGCCCAGCGGTTAAGCCTGTCCACACAGTGGCTCACAACTGTCGACTCCAGTCGGAGGGGATCTGATGCCCCCTTTCGGCCTCTTCAGGCACTGTGGTACAGACACACAACGTCCATACACACAAAATAATAATAAAACCAGTCTTCTAAATAAGTATATTAGGACTGCATCCTGAATGTCCCCTTGAATGAAACAAAATTTAAATAAACAGCCTTGTGCTCTGTCAGTGAAGGAAGAACTAATTCCTCAGGGAGAATCTACGCTGCCCTAAACTGTCTAGGAAGACAATAACCAAGACCCACCTCTCTGCTGGCCCAGGCTCACTCTGCCTAACAGTGACAAATGTGTTGGGACCCTGCTTGGACGAAGCTGCAGCCAGTTACCTCGAGCCTCGTTGCCCAGGTCCAACACGGCTGTGCCTGCTGTGTCGTGGGAGGTCCCGGTTGAGCTCTGGCTAGCCAGGATGTACCCATTGGCTGAGTTGGCGGAAGTGGTGACCACCCTCACCATGGTGACAGTGGGGGCTTGCTGGACCACATGGATGGCGTGTCCTGAGGGCTGTTGTGAGGTCACTATGGAAGCTGGCATGTAGGCGACAGGCTTAGCCACTAAGTTGGAAGGTCGGGGAGGGACAGCCATGATCACGGGCTGGGCGCTGACAGGGGAGCCTGCAGGACGACATAGAGGACAGTGGTGTGGATGGCAGCTTCCAGTGTGTCACATCCAGGAAGAGGATGAACCTGTGTCTTACCTGGGGCGCTCTGAGAATAGCGATACTCTGGAACAGAGGCTAACTTTGACCCCAAGTCGGGATCATGTGGAATGGGGGAGCCCTCCCGAGACAGGCACTCTGGGGTCTGCAGGCCACTGGAACGAGGGGACATCAGTCCAGGGTGGGTGGGTGAAGCTGGAGCACTCCTGAGAAGAGAGATACACCAAGGTGGAGGTGGCAAAGGCACACTCACAGCCACCCTACACCACATTCAACAATTCTTAAGATACATCCTATGTCTGCCCCTACATCTGAGCCAATGATTCTATGAATACAGATCATCCACCACCACCTCTGCCCAATATTTTCTAAGGTGCACCTCACATGTCTCTGCCCGTACTTCCTGGGATCCACCCCACATCTCCCCATGTGTCCACGCCATACTTGCAGGAGCGTCTCTCTTAGCTCCCTGAAGTTTTCCCTGGTGATGAAGGCCCAGCATTGCTATTTGCACTTGGTGGGGAGCTGGGTAGGTAGGTGCCCCATTACACAGGCTGAGGGGTGAAGGACAGACTGTATCCTAGCAACCGCATACTCTGAAACATTCACTGCCTAAAAGGTCCTGCCATCCTCCAGGAGCCTATGTCAGAAGAAAAAGCTTGCAGCCAGGTATAACAATGCAGGTCTGTCATCCCTGCTACTAGGAAGGCGGAGGCTGGAGAATCTGAAGCCCAAGGTCTGCTTGGGCTACAGGATGAGTTCAAGGGCAGTCTGGACAACTCTGACTCAGAATGAAAAGTGAAACAAACAGGGCTGGGCTGCAGCTCAGTGGTGGAATGCTGGCCCGGCCTTACATCCTCCAGCAAGCCCTGACTACCAGGAGGAGGCTGGTGATTGAACCCCAGTACTATACAAAACCTAGACTGGTATTGGATGGCCAGGACAATGACTATGATATCTAAGAACTACCAGAGGGCAGAGCAGACACAGGCACTCTTACCCAAGAAGCCCCTCCCAGGCTCAGTGTGACACTGGGTCACAAGTATTAGGCTCTGCTGTCCTGTAGTACTGAGAGTGTCTGCCACTTGCTGGCCACCTGACCCATGCTAGTTAGGAGTCTCTCATCTGCTGGTGACCACAGGCAGGCTCAACAGCTGTCCTTAGAAGTACTGGCTCCTGTAGACCACAAGTGGTCAGAGAGAACTGTCCAAATAGCCTTTACCTGTCAGGCAGGTGCATGGCCCAGTGGAGCTATTAGTGGTGGAGTCCGTCCATCCAATTGTGCTGCCAGCAGACAAGTTATGCTCCCAGCATGGCTCCATTAATAGTAGAGGGAGCTCAAGGTCTCAACATCAGCCGGAGAGCCTAACGGCTCAGGTACCCTGCTCTTTGGACAAACTGTGGCTGGCTCAGCCTCCTACACACACTATGAAAGCAGCCAGCGGCCACCTCACTGACTGCATCAAGAAGCACCAAAGCTGAGAGCTGGGTATCATGGTGGGCATCATAGTACATGCCTGCAAGGCCATCAGGGATATCACAAGTTCAAGGCCAACCTGCCTGCAAAGTAAGATTTGGTCTTGAGTTAAAACCCAGCCAAGAGGGGGAAGGAGGATTGAAGGGGCCATAGGGATCAAAGATTCCACAAGAACGCCTAGAATAAACAAACCTAGGTCTGTAGGGGCTCACAGAGATGGAACCATCAGCCAGATAGCATACATGGACAGACCTAGATTCCCTAAACATATGTAATGAGCATGTAGCTTGGTCTTCATGTGTGTTCCCCAGCAACAGGAGCAGTGACTGTCTCTGACTCTGCTGCCTCCTTCTGGATCCCTTTCCCTTAACTGAGTCGCCTTGTTAAGCAAGCCTCAATAGGAGAAGATGCACCTAGTCCTACAGCTAGATAACGCCAAGGCGGGCTGACGTCCATGGGAGGCCCTGCCTTTTCTGAGGTGAAAGGGAGGGAGTATGAGAGGAGAGGAGGGGAGAGGGAGGACTGGGAGGGGAGGTGGAACTGGGAGGAGAGGTGGAGGGGAAGCTGTGAGGAGGCTATAGAATAATTAATGGGAAGAAAGCAGCAGAGAGAAAGCTAAGAGTCCAAGAGAATCCATCCTCCACACAGACCACAGTCCTCTATACAGACCACAGTCCTCCACACAGATCACAGTCCTCCACACAGACCACAGTCCTCCACACAGACCACAGTCCTCCACACAGACCACAGTCCTCCACACAGACCACAGTCCTCCAGGACTAAGCCTCCCCCACCATTGTGACCCGGGTGTCTAACCTCTAGACAGTGCCAGGGAGCTTACCGTGAGGACAGAGGCCCGAAGGGGGTGCGGAAACAGGAAACACCTCTCTGCCTCCGCTTTCGGAATGCTTGCTCCACGAGCTTGGCTTCGGAGGCAGGGTCTATTCGCCAAAAAGAGCCCTTCCCAGGCTCCTCCTGTGACCGAGGGACTTTGATGAAGTAGCGGTTAAGAGAGAGGTTGTGTCGGATAGAGTTCTGTAGGAGACAGAGAGAGATGTCTGTGGGTCACAGGCACCAGAGGGCAGACCTGGTGACAGCAGCAGGAACTGGTGACAGGCACCTGGCTGCAGGTGACCACCCTCCCTGGGGAATGTGTGGGGCACAGGGTAGTGTCTGCTATTCCAACTCCACACAGCAAAATCCTTCACTGCTCTTTGTGGAGGAAGCAGACAAGTGTGCAGGATCAACCCAGGAATGGAGGAGAGAGGCAGGAGGATCACGAGTTCAAGGTCAGCCTGGGCTATACAATGAGCCCTTGGCTCAGAAAAGCTCCTTGTGGAGTTGGGGTTGTGTTTCAGCTGGTATAGTGCTGGCCTAGTGCTCAGGAAGCCCTGGGTTCCGCCCCCAGCACCCAACAAAAGGAGCATAGGGAGTGCACTCTGTAGCGTCAGCCCTCAGGAAGTGGATGCAGGAGGTTCACTGCTGGCTGCACAAAGTTCAAAGCCAGCCTGGACTACACAAGACCTTGACTCAAAAGAAAAGAAACAAAGGTTCTTTTGGATAAGTTAGTCAACAGAGAATGCTAACTACAAAGAAAAGAATCAAATACCTCAATCCGGGCCAATTACGTGTAACACAGAGGCCTCATGGCCTCCGAGAGATAAAATGCACAGAAGTCACACACGTGGACTGCTGCAGGAAATGATGTGTGTATGCATGGCTAAAGTCATGGAGGTTATACTGCAGGAAGCACAGACGCCATCAGTAACAGGTCATTGTGGTGGCTCAGAGTGTGATCCCAGCACTAGAGGCTGAGGCAGGAGGACTGCCTAAGCTATAGCACGGGACACTGTCTAAAAGGAACTTAAAAAAAAAAAAAAAACCTTGTAATCAGGCATGGAGGGAAAGTGATAAAACGGCATTCATTCTGGGGCAGGGACGTGGCACAGTTGGTAGTGCGTGCTTGGGTATGTAAGAAGTTTGAGATTAGCCTGGGCTACTTGGACCTTTGTACAGAAACAAGATGAAAACAGCTCTATAACGGCTCTGGCACACCAACAAAGTACGGTAATACTGCTCGTCATCCAGGGAAACTGCTGGGTACCTCCTTACAGTGGGCTTATGTGAAGCATGGGGTCTGCCCAGGCTCCCAGGGCCTCACCTGCCAGCCCTTGTCAGCAGTCCTGTAGTAAGGGTAATGTTTGGTGATGTGGGCATAGATGCCACTTAGTGTTAGCTGCCTGTCCTGGGCCGAGGAGATGGCTTGCACGATCAGCTGCGCATAGGAGTACGGTGGCTTCGACTCGTCCTGGAGGGCAGAGTTCACATAAGACAGCGAATGGGGACCAGGACAGAGCATACCCACCCAGGTCACCCACCCAGGTCACCCACTCCAGACACAGACCAAAGTGGCCGCGTTAAGTCACCCTGGAAGCCCAACTCATCCACCAGCATGTTTGCTGAACAATGGGACAATGGACTGACTGCACCTGTTCCCAGCTGTTGGAAGGCTGAGGCAGGAGGATCTTGATTTTGAGGTTAGCCTGGGTTATGGTTGAGACCTTGTCTAAAAAACCCCAAACAACAATAAAAAAAATTCAGAACAGTGCCTCTGGCCAGGTGTGATGCACAGCTGTGGTCCAGCACTTCTGAGTGTTAGGTCGGCCTCAGCTATAGGAGTCTCTCAAAAAAGCAGAAAACAAATCGAGGGGCTGGGGAAATGTCTGAGTGCATAAAGAGCCTATCACGCAAGCAGGAAGACTGGAGTTTGGATCCCCAACACCCATGAGAGAGGAAAGACATGACGTCACACATTGAAATCCCAGTGAGTCACTGGCCGCCTGCCTAGTCTACAGGGTGAGCACCAGGTTCAGTGAGACCCTGCCTCAAAAGATAAGGTGAAAAAGAGCTGAGAAAGACACAGTGTGGACTAGCAGAGCTGCACATATGCAAGTGCGTGCAGCCAGACACATGGAGGAAGGAAAGGAACAGAAGACATCCCAAGTCCCACCTCACGGGAGAGAAAACAGGTTTTGAATCATTGAATTCTGGAGTTTCTCACTCCCCAGCACACTGTTAGCTACCAGGTGGAAAGGAACAAAGACAGTTATATTTTAAAAAAATGTGGTTGGTCTGGTGGCACAGGCCAGTCATCGTAACTACTGAGGAGCTGGAGGCAGGACAGTCACAAATTCAAAACTAGCTGGGGCTACTTAGTGAGACTCTGCCCCAAAATAAAAAGCAAGAAGAAAATTGGTGGTATAGCCTGCTGAAGAATCAGTCCTGGGTTCAATTCCCAGTACCATCAAAGAGGGTGATAAGTGGAGTAGGTAGTAGGGGTACACCCCTTTAATCTCTGCATTTGGGAGGCAGAGGCAGGCAGATCTCTTTGAGTTTGAGACCAGCCTGATCTACAGAGCAAGTGCCAGAACAGCCAGAGTAACACAGAGAAACCTGTCTTGAAAAACGTAAAAAAGAGGGTGGGTAGAAAAGAGAGACAAATGTGTTATTTGTCTTAAAGACTACCATTAAACCCTGAAAATGTCTAACTAGCAGTGGATGGAACAGGAAGGACCTGGGTGGGAGACAGGACTCCAGCTCACTGCAATGCTAGGACTCCAGCTGACTGCAATGGGACAGGATTCCAGCTCACTGTAATGGCAAAGCTCACGTTTGGGAATCAACATGGGTAGACAGATCCTTCAATACCCTGACTGAGCCACTCTCAGGACCCTTGCTTCGGAGTCTTGGTCACCATAACAACGAGTCTGAGGTTCACACCTTAGGGCTGTCCCCACCAGACGTGTCTGCTTGCTGCTCAGAGGCTGCCTTCGCAGCGAACTCTGCGGCCAGCTGAAGGTCAGAGGTCACATTCTGGACGAAGCGGTAACTAGACGACCCAGCTCCTCGAGGACTCGCTGGACAGGAATTGGGGACACTAGAGAGAAGAAAAAACATAGTCAGAGACCCTGGGAAGAAGGACTCTGGGTGGGGACACTGTCTCCGAATCCCCACAGAAGATGGATGGAGGTGTCATTTCTGCCTTACTGGTAAATTTCAGGGCAACTAGCTTTAGAAGGCTGGAGAAATAAAACCAAAAAACCCAAGAGGGGACAGACATGCTTTACTCCTCTGAGGCCACAGCCAGAGCTGCAGGAAGCTAGGCCAGAGGTTCTAATAAGCAAGAAAGCAGCAGCCTCAGCTGCTTCAGCAAACGCATGGCTAGCATAAAAGTGACCACAAGATGGCGACCTAAGAACAGGCTTGGATGGCAAGTAACTCCACACAGGGAACTTGAAACAGGCGAGGGAGGGCCTGGGGGTGGGGTGGTGGTGAGGTGAGGTGAGGTGAGGTCTGCTGGCTGGCAGAAGAGGGGGCACACAGAATTCTCTGCCCTGGGCCATCAGCTCCACTGTGACATAGCTGTGGGCTGTGCAGTGGACCCAGCCAGGCCACCTGGACCCCAGGGCTCTGGCTGGCTGACTGATGCGTGTGCTAACTGATTAACAGACTGTCTAGTAGGCCCGTGAATGGCTCAGCCTGTGAAGATGCTTGCTGCCAAAGCAGACCACCTGAGTCCGACCCTGGGGATCCACACGGCGGAAGAGTCTGACTCCCACAGGTTGTCCTCTGACCTCCACATGTAAACTGTGGTACAGATAGGCACACAGGTATACACACACACACACACACACACACACACACACACACACACCACATACCAAATAAATACAATGTAATGTAAAAGTTAAAAAAATAAAACCTTTCTAATAGGGAACAGTAATCAACTCTGAAGAGGGTAGGGGTCACGTCCACCAATACCTCTGGCTGCAAATGACAAGTGTCAGGCCACCACTCTCTGACATGGCTGCCCTCTGCCTGCACAGTGTCCCTCAGGCCTGGGATGTGACCCTGTGGGTGGCTGCTGGCCGATCTCCCTCTTCCTGAAAGCTGCTCAGGACTGAGCAAAAAGCAAGCTGAGGCATAGTGGGAGAGTAAATTCCTTCTGGGGTCACGACCCTTCTGTAGGAAGGAGGGGTGCATGCCACATAGAATCTTAAAGTCTCCAGTTTAAGGCTTCATATTCTCTTATTTTTATTTTTATTATTTTTATTTTTGTTTTTTTGAAACAGGGTTTTTCTGTGTAGCCCTGGCTGTCCTGGAACTTACTCTGTAGACCAGCCTGGCCTCGAACTCAGAAATCCGCCTGCCTCTGCCTCCCAAGTGCTGGGATTAAAGGCGTGCGCCACCACTGCCCAAGGCTTCATATTCTCTTCTCCTTCTGACCACCTCTAAAATCTGGTAATTTCCGTTGGCCTCCTCCCGGTCCCGTGTCCTCAGGCCCAGCCGAGGCTTTGCCACAAACATAAAGAACAATCGGCAAGCTGAGAGGGAGGAACTTCTCTGCGGTTCTTTTTCTTTTTAAAGAGAGTCTTGCTATTCAGCTCAGGCTGGTCTCAAACTCACCATCCTCCTGCCTCATAAACATAATAGGCATGTACCACACGCCTGGCTTGAATTTAAGTCTCTCTTTTCCTTGAGACAAGATCCCATCATGAGCCAGGCAGTGGTGGCACACGCCTTTAATCCCAGCACTTGGGAGGCAGAGGCAGGCGGATTTCTGAGTTCGAGGCCAGCCTGATCTACAGAGTGAGTTCCAGGACAGCCAGGGCTACACAGAGAAACCCTGTCTCGAAAAACAACAACAAAAACAAAACAAAACAAAAAAAAGACCCCATCATGGAGCTTAGGATGGACTGGAACATCCAACATGGCCACATGTGGCGATTCCCAGGCGTGCACACCACACCAGTCTGAATTTAGTTCTGAATCTAAAATATAAACCCAATTTTACTCCAATGTCCACAAACTCAAAAATCAGGTTTCTCTGTGCATAGCACTCCTTTAATGTCAGCACTCAGGAGACAGAGGCAGGCAGATCTCTGTGAGTTCAAGGCCAGCCAGGGCATAATAGTAAGACCCTGCCTTAAAACCAACCAAACAAGCAAATGAAGATTGTTTTAAGAGCCAGGCTTCACAGGTAGACTTGGAGCAAAGGCATGGTCAAGAGAAATGTGGCACAGGGGTGATAGCTCGTCACTGGAGAATCACAGCAGTGCTTCCCTGCGCTGTGCATGGCATCCGGCCTCAGGCCAGGGCCCATTAATGACCTCAGAGTTTACCCCAATGACAAGAGACATCAAGTCTCACTGGTAACCACAGGACTGCAAAGTCACTAGGGAACATAGCACACCTCCTAGTGACAGGCCATGGACACCCAGCGGAGGTGGAGGTGGGGTGTTGGGCTTGTCCTTGTGTGAAGCTGAGGAGATGGTAGAGCATCAATCCTGGGTGTTCGTGATCTCATGCCTGTTCTAAGGCCACAGAGTAATGGAGAACGGACAGCAAGGCCGTGCCACCTGCTCTCAAGGAAGTGTCCTGCACACCTTCACTCCCAAGTGCGAAATCCAAAGTCAAGCTCTTCATGGCCCACGGGATGGGTTAAACGAAGAGGCACGCAGGGTGTGGCAGAAGCCCACCTTAGAACCAGGAAAAGTCAAGAGACAAGAGTTGATGGTTGCAGGCCTGTTGTCCCAGCTACTGGGGAAGCTGAGGCTGGAGTATAGCCCAAGGTCGGTCTGGGATATGAAATGGGTTCTAGTCCAACCTGGGAAACCGTGAGTGAAACTCAGTCCCATCCTGTCCTCACTGACCCCCATCCTCCCCCTCGAAACAGTCTGAGAGAGTAGCTTGGTTGTAGAGCACTTATCTAGAAGAGAGGGGCTCGGGTGTGGTCAGTGGCAGAGTGCTTGCCTAGCATGTGTGAGACTCTGGGCTCAGTCTGTGCTTATGGCCCTGCCCCCTGGCCCACCCCGCCCCAGAAGGCAACCTCAGGTGATCCAGCCTGGCTCCTGCCCTGAGTGCTCCAGTCCTGAGTCTGTAATGGCAGTTTCCCAGCAGCCTCTGCAGAGGCTCGCCAGAAGAGATGTTTTCTCAGTACACCACATTGAACCATCCTTGCAAGCAGGCTACAAAGAGAGAGCTGGGCCTGAGTCAGGGCAACCTGCTGCTGGGGCTCAGGTCTCAGAGCCATGAAATAGCCCACTGAGACCATGGGAGTCAGGTGACCCTGACCAGGTGAGCAGAAATTTCCAGGGGTGACCTGCCAGTGTTTGGGAGACAGAAGCAAGAGGGCTGGAGCCTGCAGACCAGGCTACTGCAGCAAGACTGACTCTGCCTTTCAAACCCAAACAAACAAAACCAAAACGAGTGTGTCCTAAAAGTCGTCCTCACAGAGCCACAGTGAAACGACGGAGGAACCCACAAGGCCACTCGGCTCCAGTGCGGGTCACAGACATCTTCGAGAGGAGCCCCATGTTCCCATGGGAGGCAGACCTGTGTTCCCTGTGGGGAACCCAGGACTCATTCCCCCAAACAAACTGACTGGCTGCACTCTGGGAGAAGAGAGCCAGGGCTTGGTGAGGGCTGACGTGGAGGGTGTGATGGAGTCAGACTACGAGGAGCAGCCTGTCAGAGACCCTGACAGTCTGCTGAGAGACCCTGTCTGTCTCAAACAACAGACAGGACACCCGAAAAGAGCCTCAGAGGAGTACATGTACATGTACACACACACACACACACACACACACACACACATGTTGTGGGCCTGGTGGTATGCACACTCTGGAGTCAATGAGAAAGCTTGAAGGCTGTGAGTGCCAGTCAGCTCCTGGGGACTGGCCTGGCCCTGGCCTGTTCCAGCAGCAACCTTGATAATCTCATGCTGGCCCTGTGACAGCCTGGGCCACACCCTGGAGCCTGGCTTGCTGGACTCCCCAGACGTGCCGAGAACCACCCCTGCCTGGCTCAGGTGTCCAGGGCCCCACCGGCACTGGCAGCCATACAGGCAGTCACTTCTTGCTTTTTTTTGTTGTTGTTGTTTTTCAAGACAGGGTTTCTCTGTGTAGCCCTGGCTGTCCTGGAACTCACTCTGTAGACCAGGCTGGCCTCGAACTCAGAAATCCACCTGCCTCTGCCTCAGTCACTTCTTTCTTTCTTTTCTTTCTTTTGTTTATATAGGGGAGGGAGCATGCTAATCTTCTCTGTATTACTCCAATTTTAGCAAAAGTGCTGCAGAACCTAGGGCCTCAGTTTCTTTCTTTAGCTGGCCTTGAACTTGCTACACAGCTGAAGGAGACCCTGAACTCCACTGCACTTCTGCACTGTGTTACAGTGAGCAGATTTCAGACTGCCGAATCTGAAGGAGTCCCCACCCCACCGCTGCTGTTCCTCAAGCCAACACCTTGTCAATGTCAGCAGCACAGCCTCTGGTCACTTCCTTCCAGTGCCAGCCTCACAGCCGGTGAGGAGACACTACAACTGCTGGTGGGCTCAGGGGAACAGTACTGTCAAAATTCGGGGTGGAGGGTTACAGTCTGGAAGGGCTGCCAGGGCTGGGAAGTTATCACAGCTGGTAAAGTGCTGGCCACATAAGTATGAAGGGCTGAATTTGATGTCCAGAACCCATGTCAAAAAGCTGGGTGTGACGGCTGGCACCTGTCATCCCAGCATGGGGAGGCAGAGACAGGAGGATCCTGGGGATTTGCTGGGTTTTGACACAGGCTTGGTCATCCCAGCTACTCGGGAAGCTAAGGTACGAGAACATGGAGCCTCTATCAAGTACTTGCCTAATGTGTTAACTCCTCAATTCAATTTCCAGTTCCTCAACAGTGTTTGTTTGTTTTTAAGGGGAACAAATCGCCATGCTGGCTAGGTGGTCTTTTTTAAAATGCTTCTGACAGACCCTTACTCAGGAAGTAAGCGCAGAATGTTTCTTAATAAAATGAAGGAGTAGTTCAAGAAAGAGGAAGGCATGTGAGTCCGGGCTGGAAGCCTTTCCTCCCGAGAAGTCTAGGATGAGGAGGAAGACCACTTGGG